CAGAGGGCTACCCTCTGAAGACGCCGGCCACAGAGACTGGCAAAATGTCAGGAAGAACAACCTTCAGAACACGGCCAAAGAGCCTGAAAAACTCACAACAACCATTAGATCCCAGCTATGAAAGCCTTCGCAAATACAAACAAACAAACCCTGATAAACTACAAAATGTTAGTGGAACAGATGTTACATTACCCTGTGCAACTACAGATGGTACACTTCATTTTAGCATATACTAGTGGTAGAATTCAGCTTGCTTGGTATTAGGGGCTAGGAGTCTGATTCCCTATTGTGCCTCCTGGAAGAACAGTCTGCCTGTACACCCTTGGGCAAGCTGAACGGCCCCAGAGCATCATCAGAAGGAGGAACTGGTAAACCCCATCTCAGTACTTTATAACTAGAAAACTCTGGAAAGGGATGCCATAAGAGAGACTTGACAGCACATTATTATTAATGATAGAGTTCACCATAATTGGTAATGGCACAATATGCAAAATATTCAGGCAAACTACAATAACATGTATGAGAACAGGGAATAGCCATTTTATCATTTGGTCTTGCCATTTATTTATCCAGTTTCATCAATATGACATCTACCTAAATGATTCAAGCAATTTTATTATGAATATTGTTTTTAAAAAATCCTGTTACTTGCAAGATCGGAGATCATGTAGGAGAAATATCAAGGCACTGGCACAAATCTTTGCAAGGAAGTGTGAAGCTGAATAATCTAGGATTGCTTCCCATATGAATGAAGAAGAAAAATGCAGAACTCTTTACAGTCTCACTAGCCTTGAATTGGTTTGGATATCTAGTAGACATATACACACATATAGTATACCAACAGTTATCTTGCTTTGAACCATATCTACTGGAAAAAAAATCTTCATTTCCTAGATGCAACTTCCCCAACCTGGTGCCCTCCAGTTGTGTTGGACTATATTTCCCCTCATCTTCAGGCAACATAAAGGATAATGATTGTTTGCATTGGAGTACAAAACTATTGCCTCCAGTGACTTGCAGGAACCTTTTGGGGTTTTAAGTAACGTTTCTGTCAGAATTTCTCCTCTGGTTTATCTGGAGATGCTAGCAATTGAACCTGGGATCTCCTAGAAACTGAACACATACTCTGCAAGCCACTGTGGTGTTAAAATAATTTAGAAATGAACCAATCAACATAACCTATTCTTCTTTGCCTTGTTTCAATTTCATCTGAGTTAATCAATGGTAGAGATTCTACAGTTCAGCTAAAGCAAATAATGCTGTTTGGTCCAATATCCTTTTCTATGCTCACTAAGATTATTAATCTTAAAATGACTTACGCTCAGGATCACTGCAGCTGCTGTTGCCCTCTCATTGTGATGCCTTTTATGCAGAACTGATCCCCTGGAGGCAGGCTGGCCACACTATGTATAGTAGAAGAAAAGGGAAGAGGGAAAAGGAAAAGGAAATGGAGAGAAGAGGAAAGGGCATGGGAAAAAATGGAAGATTTTGTTGGAGAGAAGGCAGAGAAGCGTCAAAGCCAGCCAGGACTATGATTCTCTGCGATCCAAACATTCTGTTGCCCTCGGTATTTTCAGTGACTTAACAGTATTCTGAGAACAGTGACATGTCACAGCTGAGAATATCCACCATAACATACAATTCTGCCCACAATCACTAAATTTTGTAGGAAATTATTATTAATGCATACACTTAAAAGTTACATAATTTAGTCTGGTGCAAAGATGGGGATAATCTGGCCCTTCAGCTGTTGTTAGTATACAACTCCCATCTGCATAGCCAATGGCACAAGATAATGAAAGCTGCAGATTGATAGTTACTAGAATTTGACCCCCATGGGGTCACGAAGAGTCGGACACGACTAAACGACTAAACACACAGAATTACATAGTAACTAAATATGCCCAGTGACAACAAGAAGCAAAATCTGCATCATAAAAATGCCATGAACCAGTGTGGGATAAGTGTTCTGAGCACTAAAGGGAAATAATAACTGTAGTGGACAGATGTTTATTATAAAGATGGCATACTAAGAATATATAGGTAACATTAGCTGTCATGTACAGCGTCTACTTGGGTTTCAAGACTTTTGTTTGTTTAATCATTTAGTTGTGTCCAACTCTTTGTGACCCCATGGACCAGAGCACGCCAGGGCCTCCTGTCTTCCACTGCCTCCCGGTTAAATTCATGTTGGTCACTTCAATGACACTGTCCAACCATCTCATCCTCTGTCATCCCCTTCTCCTCCTGCCTTCACATTTTCCCAACATCAGCGTCTTTTCCAGGGAGTCTTCTCTTCTCATGAGATGGCCAAAGTATTGGAGCCTCAG